AAACTTAAAATGTTAATTTGTAAAAAAAAAAAAAAAAAATAGGTGTTAGTAGCGTAGTAGTAGTGCTAGATTTTTTTTATTTTAATTTGTTTTGAACTTATTTGACATTTTAACCTTTTCTATGACCTAAGGAAGGGACAGTGCGTCCTCGAAATTTGAATTTTTTATTGCACGGGTCGATAGTCATTTTTAGTGCTTTGTATATATTTTAATTCGTGACTTTATATTTACTTTATAGATCCGACATCGATAAATTAATAGGTAAAGGAAATAAAAGTTATTCCATCCTATGTCAGGTTCGATCGAATTGACTACTCTTAAGTCTCAATTGAACTCTGCTAAAGTAACCTACGAATAAAACTAGAATTTTTTTAACTTGGAAATTATCTATCTTTTCAGAATGCCTCACCCCATAATCATCTCATATAATACAAAAATGTCTATATGATTTACATGTTTAGAAATCATGTTATTTTGAACAGCATACATTTCCTCAATTTGCATTTCCCGCTTAAAAAGTGGGAGGGTATATAGAAATCGGCATTTCCGTCCGTCCGTCTGTCCGTGTGTTACGCTTTGGTGTACCAATCTCTTATCCGCAACTCCTCTCATATCACAGAAGGAAATTTAATGAAACTTTCACAGAATCTTTATTACATATTGCCATTGTGTACCTCCTATTTTACCTCTTAATCTGACGGTTATTTTTGATTTTCGATGAGCAAAACATGGACACTGCCATTATATTCTTATGGGAGGCGGTGGGTATTATTAGGTGAGCTCAATTCTCACAGTACCTCTAGTTTATATTGCAATTTTGCTAAGCTTTTGAACACTAAATATATAAATATTCCCTGCCAATGTAAAATACTTTAAATTTATTTTTTAAACTCCGCAGAGCACCAAGGCTTCTTTAAACTTTAATATCAAATAACCCACCGCCTCCTGCCGTTCACAATGTTTTCTTTGTTATTACAATTAAAAACTAGCAACGAAACAAAGGGTAAGGCTTAAATTTTTCTGACACCATGCCATTAAATTCTCAAAACCGTAAACAATCAAGAGAAATGAAACATATTTCCATTAATTGACCGCAACAATATAGTTCAATGAAATCATTTGTAGCAAAGAACAGACCTTTGTTATTAAATTTTCTATGTGGATCGATATTTCTGATGGCATACATTATCAGACGTTTGGTTAAAGATACATATATTAAACACCGGAAAGAAAAAAGTAAAACACTATTTTCAATCTTGGACGGACATTTTGTAGGGGCGGACATAATGTTACAATTTTGGATGATCGGCGGACACTTCGTGGCGGCGGAAATAGTTTGACAATTTTTAGGGAGAAAAGGCGGACATTTCTTGGCGGCGGACCTAATATTTCTATTTTTTTAGAAAGAAAGGCGGACATTTCGTGGCGGCGGACATAGTGTGACGATTTTTCCAAAAAAGAGGCGGACATTTCGTGACGGCGGACATAACGTGACGATTTTTTCGAAAAAGAGGCGGACATTTCGTGACGGCGGACATAACGTGACGATTTTTTCGAAAAAGAGGCGGACATTTCGTGACGGCGGACATAACGTGACGGCGGACAAAACGTGACTCAACAGGGTCAAAAAGGCCAAATTCAAAATATCTTTCTAAATTACAGTGCAATCTAATTTAAACAAGCAATTCAGAGAATTTGTGTCCCCCGCTTAGGGAAAAAGTCGGATCGCCCTGACTGCATTTGCAGAATTATTAAATGTATACATGTATACTAAAGCAAATCAAATACATGTATGTCAATATGCATTTAAAAATTTGATCGCTTATTCTTTATTATGTGTATAGAGGATTCTTTTTATATTGGCTATTTATCACTTTGTAATGATGATTTTATGAGTTTGTACAAGCCAGACCTTTTGCATTTTTTTTTCATTTCACATGCTGTATACTATCATTTAGTTAAGAAAAAGAAAATGGATCGTTTGGGATTTGAACCCAAGGCCTCTCGCATGTGAGGAGAGTAACAAACAACTAGAACACTGAACTGCTTAATCCTGGCGATAATATATACAAATATGAAGTCACATACATGTATTTATATATACTGAAAGGATAAAGAAACGTATAATAAACTTTTTTATTAAATGATAAGGAATTTTGGTGCTCTCTGATTGGTCTAGACGCCATTTACTGGTGTGTACCTCAGAGTGAGTTCACCTCAAATGACGTTCTGGGAGGTTTATTCGGGTTTTCCCTCTCGACCAACCATAGATTTGCTTACAGCTTTTTCGACCAATCAGATTGCATGTTTCAAAGCATGTGTCGGTGTGAATGTAAACATGCCAGACGCCATTAACAAGGAGATTAAGAACTTTTGAAAGTAAATGGTTGAGTATTTATTGTTTATTAATATTGTTTTTAACTTTTTAACTAATATTTGTTTAGCTGTTGAAGTAAAAAGTAATTACACTTTACATTATGGATGTTTATATTTGATGGAGACAAGAATGAAAGAGTTATCAGTGTTGTAAAATTTCTCATCTTTTAATAAAACGGTTATTGACTTTTGAATTCGGTCTACTCGTGACTATACAGACCTGGTCAGGTATTGGTTAACCTCGGCCTTCGGCCTCGGTCAACCAATACCTGACCAGGTCTGTATAGTCACGAGTAGACCTCATCAAAAGTCAATAATTGTATAGAATAAAATTAAAACTTTTATTTCCAGTATGTTTTCCAGTATTGTTATCAAACAATTTAATCCAACTTTAAACAACAAGTAACCAAAATCTTGTGTGACTTTGACTTATAATTCCTGAGTTAATGAAATTGATATGTCGATACCCCCCAAATTAAAATAAAAATTCTCATCATCTCCCATGCGCATCAGTAACAGCCTTGATTTTCGCGTGCATTGAGTTAACCTGAGCATTTATCTTTCTCATAGAATTATCATTCAAGCCTTCCGACGATATTCTTAATGGTTGAGAGTGGCTGTGTTATTCCAAAGCCAACAAATCCTCCGCCATATGAATCCCACGAATTTTCGATTAATGATAGAATTTACAGAATCTAGCTGATTTGGTACACGTGATTGTTTGTGAGGAAGTCTCGACAAACACTCTCCACATTTTCTCAGCGTGAACATGCTAAAACATTACGCATACGGCGCTTACGTGCGCGTGTGAGAGTAAAAATCGACGTAAAGTTGCCAAGCTTGCGCACCAAATTAGAGCAGAGAATGTCTGTCAGTATTAGGGTGAAAATATGAGTATGACTGTCTGCTGTAAAAAAATATCGATGTCAGTGATAATGACTTGACAATAACCGAGGAAGCATCTTGATGTGACGTTGTTACGTACGGACCAACGTCAACGTCATGGCTGGTTGAGAACCTTTTAAATTACTCTCTGACAACCGAAAAAAAAATTTTGATTGAAAATTTAAAAACAAAGTGCACAGCAACATGTTATTGCCTTTTTATTCACTTATGGAACTAAATTACTAAACCCAATGTAATTTACGTCAGCCATACCGTGATTGCAAGAAATTTATACTGACTGCAAATATCGGAAAACGATGTCTATAACTCTTATGCATCGATTGGCACTACAAAATGAGATCACAAAAATGTCATCATCAACATCCACATGTATTTAACTTCCCTTACGTGACGCCAGACATTTCATGGTTGAGTAATTTTGACCAGCGATTTAATTGCACAGTATCCAAATTACACATCTGACTAAATTTCATAATTTTTTGCCATCTAGTTAAATATTTTTCGTTATTGTGCAATTATGCGTTTCTTTGTCCTTTCAGTATATTTACGTTCGATATTGTCAAAATTTTACACAAATCATGGTGTTTAATATAACCTTTATTAAACAGTTCTAATGTATAAGAATATAAGGTCCACTGAGAACCTGCTTAATACGTAAGAACTCTCTTCATGCCCCTGTGCTAAAAATAGCGACATGTTATACAATAAATACTAATAAAACGAGAGGTCTTACGGAGTTTCGGTATAAAATTACATTGCAGCAGCTCATAATTCCCTTGAAATATCGCCCGGAAAGTATAGTGTTAAAAAAAACATAATGTATAAATTTACGACCTTTAACTTTGGCTTTTTGACCTCAAAATCAATAGGGGCCTTCCTTAGCCCACAGGGAGCTGATATGTAAATTTCATCGCAAAACTCAAAGGGTTCTCGAGATATCGCGCGGAAACGAAAGTTAGAGTTATAACAGACAGAATTTGCAAATTGATAACCTTGACCTTTGACCTCTTGTCTTCGAAATCAATATGTTTATTCTTTGGTCCATATGGAGTTGATATGCAAAATATCATTGCGAAAGTTCAAAGGGTTCTCGAGATATTGTTTGAAAACGTAAGCGTTACAGACAGACAGAAAGACGGACAGGCGGAAGGACGGACACACGAACAGGCCCAGTTTAATATCCCCACTTTTCAAGCGGGGGACAAGTCGATCCTTAAAAAAAGGTATTGCAATCTGGATCACATTTGAAGTTTCTAAAGGCCGGTACACACGGTAAGGCTTTAATTTCCTTATAAGTCATGAAATTTAAGTTCTAACCTCACCGTGTGTACACCCTTAATACTCGTTTTTTTTAGCCTTACAAGTCTGACTTTAGAATAGATCACTGCTCTATTTCCTAATGCAAGACTTAGCTGACATTTAATTCTTGACCAATGAAAACCAAAGTTCAATCTATTTTCATAAAACCATACACGTTGATATATTAAAGAAAACACAGAGTATATTCGAGTAAGATAATGAAAATCTACAAATACTTCAGCCAATCTCCACTTCCTTGTTAAGAACTGTGGATACACTTGTCGGTAAAACTATTTCAAAGTCCTTGCTTAGTATTATATTATTTCGTTTAATAATGTACAATATTTATGGTTCAAAAACACATGGAATCTTTGTAAATATTGTTTATAATATTGTAAGTCCTGCCTTTGCGTGTGAACATGAGAGCCGTACGTCCTGCAAAAAGTAAGGTTTTAAACCTATAAGGCAAGCCTAACTGTGTGTATTGGCTTTAACATAACAACACACATCTGTGATGCCAATTATATATGTACATGTATCATTATTGGAGACATATTAAGAATGCATGATATATGATTGATTAGGCAAGATATTTCATAGGTATTTCAAATCAATATCAATTTTGTTATGGCTTACTTTTATGAATTAGATATTCTTCTATAACCCTTCTATGATTCTATAGCCTGCTTGGCGCAGTGGAAAAAGCCTCTGCTCTAGAGTCGCGCAGTAAGGAGTTTAATCTTTACATCGCAGGTTCGGATCCAACTGTGGGACGTAGAGACCGGTCCTTCGGATGAGACCGTATGAACTGTCGCAGCAGTTGTTGGATTGAAAAAGATTCCTCACTGCTCAGTATCCCTGAGTGCCGAGTATAGGTCAAAATTTGTAGCTCTCCAAGGGCAAATGATGGCGTATCCAGATAAGTGAACAATTCGGGAAAGGGACGTTAAACAAGAAACAATCAATCAATCAATATGATTCTATAACCTTTAAGTTGGAGATTATTTACATAGGCAGTGTTAGTTGTCATATCATTAATGATTATTTAATAAAAATATTGTTTCAAAAAATGCAGAAAATATAACACGAGTAGAAAAATGCTTTACCGGTCCCCAGATCCGCAAGATCCCATTAATGATTATTTAATAAAAATATTGTTTCAAAAAAATAAGCTGAAAATATAACACGAGTAGAAAAATGCACTTTCGTATTACACGTTACGTCTGAAAAATAACTAAATATACTGAAAGGAAAAAGAAACGCAGGGTAAACTTTTGCGGTGAATTAAATTTGTTTTTCTTAAAATATGTTTTAGTTTTTAAATCTAACTTTTAAAATCATCTTTCGAAAAAAAATAACCAAATTCCCATTTGACTTTGTCTAATTATTCATGAGTTACTGAATTTTAAAATGACGATACCCCCAAAAGTGAAAATCGAAAACTCTCATCATCTTCAATGTCTCTCCCGTGCATCTGTCAGAGCCTTATATCTCCTTTGCATGGAATTTCATTAGAGTGTTTATCTTTCATACCCTGGCTATATTTGGCATGAGTAACCACGCAAAAAAAATAAGTCAAACGGCGCGCACATGCGCCAGTGAGAGGAAACACTAAGTTGAATGGCTGAAAAAATCAAATTGAGGAATTGTTTTCTTTCAAATTTCGTATGAATTTAATGAATATTATTATCTACTGTATAAAAAACCTTTTTAGTGGTAGTAAGGGTGCGATTTAAGAGATGGCAGGACGAATAGCCCTGTTTCGCGTCAACGTCATCGTCACGGTTGATTTAAAACCATTCGAGACCCTTTTCTGACAACGGGTAACAAGATTTATGGGGGAAAATTTACAAGAAACTGAAAAAATTCATTTTTGTATCAATATAATAGTTTTTCTATATTTTCATAGAATTTTGAATTTGAATGTAAAATGAAATAATAAAATTAAAACAGAATAAATACTTCAATAAAAGTGTCCGGATTTAATTTATTGAACATGAATAAGTACACGATTAAGTCGTCAAATATTACGCATCCAAGATGTTTGTATAAGTAAATTACTTTCAAAAGATTAAATTTTCAAAATGCCTTAAACTTATATAATAAGTTTCAACTTATTTTAAAGCTCATGTCTATAATGTACAAAGCAATGTTTGTACTTTTTTTTCTTAAGCAGAGATACAATTAATTATATATGCGGAGCGCAAGGGGTCTGCTTGAAACCCCTACTGATAGTTATGTAATAAAAATATTTTTACTACATTATCTTCTAGCCCCATATCTCGTAGTTTTATTATAATACACGATTGCAATTAATATCACCTGAAAGCTGTTATTCTTGTCTAAATCATGGTACTTTACCATTATTTATTATCTCTTTTGCAGAAATGATGGAACAGAGTGCTCGAGGGAAAAGAGGTTTGTTTTAAGGCAGTGTTAAATTTTATCTGATGCCTTGTATTGTAAAAGGCAATTAGCCTTAGAATCCACATAATTTGTTATAAATCATTCATCTCCATAACAGAAATGTGTTTGTATTGTAGATTCCTATACATATACAAATCTATATACTTGCATGCGATACATTAAAATAGCAATACAATAATATTTATTACAATATAGTATATAGGACATACATTTTATTAGCATTTAGTAAATAATGTTACTTATTTTTACAATAGATTTAAATTTTCCAAACATCTAACAAAATGAAAAACAAAAGGAAATTAAGCTTTTATTTTTTAATGTTGTTATTTACAAAATTATTTATTTTGACATTTCTATTTATTATAGTTGTGTGTCTTGTCACGTTACTTCGGTCCGTTATACAGATGTCTACCATTACCATATCCGATGTTAAGGAAATTAACTATTTCTCCTGTGAATCATCAGACAGATTCTGGGTGAGTGGTGAAACTGAACTTCTAAATGTGGATTCCAGAGGGAATGTTCTAAGACGTCCTAAGGTTGGATTCAGTGGAATTTCCACTAACACCGATGGAGAGCTATTGTTTTCAGACACAATTGGTGTTAAAAAATTAGAGTCAAATGGAATCATCACCACACTTTTCGCAATAGACGAGAGTATATGGTGTATCCACTCCTCCCGCATCAACGGCGACATACTGTTAGGGTTACGTAATACTACATTACGTACCAGTAAAGTAACTAGGTACGACGTGACGGGACAGAAGATCCTGGATATTGAGGAGGACAATCAAGGAGTGAAGCTATATGCAATTACCAAACTACATCACAGAGAACAAGAACGGGGATATCTGGGTATCTGATAAAGTTAGAGTGGTGGTGGTAGATAAATCAGGAAAACATCGGTTTAACTACACAGGTCATCATTCTCGTGAATTTTATCCCGCAGGTATCTGTACCGATATCCTCAGAAATGTACTGGTGTGTAATTCCTCTTTCTCCGATCCCGGTGTTCATCTCCTGGATCAGGACGGTCAGTTCCTGTCTATGCTGCTGACTAAAGAACATAATGTACAATTTCCCAAAGCTGTGTGTGTGGACGACAAACACAACCTCTATTTGGGACAGTATGGCAGTAACATAATCACAGTGTACAAATATCTTCAGGTCTCAGAAAATTAAAAAGTTCCAAATGATTTAAATGATATAGAAAAAAGAAATAAGTTGTACATAATGTTTCATTTGAATTGTCAGAAATATGAAAAGAGCTTATCTGGTTTGTTTCATGAAATAATCGTTATATCTTATGGAAAAAGATATGAAAGGAACTTGTACAATGGTTTTGTCTAATTATTCATTCATGAGTTAATATTTACATTCGCTCTGTTTTTCTAGTAAGCTTACTGTGAAATTGATTTGAAAAACATTTTCGTGTATACTCACGCGTAGAAATATACACAGAGAAATTTGCGTTAACGTGACGTCACAATGAGACTGCAGCGACGTTAGTAAAATGCAATAATATAGGACAGCGATAAATTCAAATATTGAGTGTATTTTAGTTGCCTCCAAACGTGTAAAATGTAAATATAAGTAATGTTTTTCAGTTTAGTGTGAATTATTGGTGTGTGAATCACACAGACTTGCTCATAGTAATATTTTTCATGAAGCGCTAGCGCGCTTCATGAGATATGCCTACGTGACAAGTCTGTGTGATTCACACACCAATAACTCACACAAAACTAAAAAAACATTCCTTAATCGAAGCTCAAATGACGATACCCCCAAAAAAAGAAAACCAAAAAACAAAAACTCTCATTATCTTCAATGCATCTGTCATGGTCTTATTTCTCCTTTGCATGGTATTTCATCAGAGTGTTTATCTTTCAAACCCTGGCTATATTTAGCATGGGTTACCACGCAAAAATAAGTCAAACGGTGCAAGCATGCGCCAGTGAGAGGAATACAACAGTAAGTTGACTGGCTCAAAAAACCAAATTGCGGAATTGTTTTTTTTTTCTTTATAATTTCTTATGAAAATGATAATTAAAATCGTCTTCTCTATAAATGACTGTTTCTGTGGTAGTAATGTGGCGATTTAAGAGATGGCAGGACGAATAACCCGCTCGCTACATGGCTCTATTTCGCGTTATCGTCATCGTCACGGTTGATTGAAAACCACTCCAGACCCTCTCTGACAACGGGTAAAATGTTTTATGGAGGGGTTATTTACGAGAGACTTCTAAGTAAACCGTTTTTCCCTTTTTTGTTAATTAGGCAATTCGAAAACAAGACCCCATTGAACTTATGTAAACTGTGCCAAGATTGCAATTAGTTCATAGTGTCTCTCAATATTAAAAAACAATGTGCATATCTCATATGCATCAAATAATGCGACAAGATTTGTTGATAAACTTGTCGTTATCAAATTGCACGTGTTTTAAGATTTTTAGAGTTTTCCATACGTGACGTCATAAATTTTATGGTTGAGTAATTCTGAATACTGATTTTGATCCCCAGTAAATAAATTTCCCTTCCGATCAATTTTCAAAATTCTCGGTCATGTGGTCAAATTTTTATCGAAAATTATGCTATCCTGCGTTTCTTCTTCCTTTTAATATATGTATATATATATATATATATATATATATATATATATATATATATATATATATATATATATATATATATATATATATATATATATATATATATATATATATATATTCTTTATATAATCATATTTTTACTTATAAATATTCATATGTGTCATATTGTTTCCAAGTTCTTAAAATAAAAGATAGGAGACTTTTAATATTACTAGCTGAAATCCAGCGCGAATTGGGAAAACGTTCAAACAGATTTGTTAACAAAACTATTTCAAAACTATCTTTCAGATTTTATTTTCACAAAATCCAATTTCATTAAAGGCGTCTTTATCTGATATGTTACAAACTTAAAGCAAAGTTCTACGGGTGCTTATTGACATTTTCTCTGCTTGGAATCTTTGTTTATCGCTTTGTATTATTACAATCAATATTTATTTTGAAATAATTTAATTTTGTTTGTATTCTAGTCTCTCATTGGTTTATTTCCAAAAAGGAACGCAAATTATTTCTCAATAACCTGGTTTTGTATGGGGACACACCAGCTGAAATAACTGTATCCATGCAAACCTCTCATTTACAGTCCTTGAGATTCATGGAAAATTCAAGATTTAATAAATGTACCTTTAACTCCAAATACAAATGTAGTAGCTCGATCTTTTCTCATTTAAAAAAACATCATGACTGCTAGATCTGTGTATCAGTTATTACCTCCCCTTATTTCATATCACTTTCATTAATAGGGATGCATTATTGAGCTGCAAAGTTGAACTCATAAAAAGCAGCACATTTTACACCCACAGTTGTTTGGTCATTTTAAAATTAAATTATAAGGTATGACTCTAATTCTTGGCCAAATTATTTTATGAAAACCTGGTTTCGGTCAGTTTACGCTTTTTTATAATCCACGAAGCTCTAAAGTCAATAAGTCAAAACTAAATGGGAGCAGATCAAACACAGACCTCCAAAAGAGCAGATGTCTTCTTACAAGGTCATTGTATCCACCATAGAACATACGAAATGATGACATTAAAGAAGATCTAGACTGCTCGCAAAATCTTGTTTCATCAACTTGTTTGTCACTAATATACCTCGTTTTAGAAAAGCATAGAGCATGCTCTTCCAAATTGAAAATATTGTAATTCATATATTTTGAGAGAAATGACCCCTCTCTATATTTTAACAAAGAAAAAAAGTATACCTTTATGATAATATAAACGAGAAATATTACGTTTTCTTTTATTTCTGTACTCTTAAAGCTTCTGTCATAAATATTTACCGTTCTGCATAAAAAAGGTAAGTAAACACCGACAAACATCTGAATATAAAACTTTTTTCTTAAAAACGAGTATTTTGTTTGGATCAGAAATAATTCAAACATATAAACCCTTTTCTTCTTCTAATCATTCTGCCCTCCCCCAATTCCACGTCAACAACCCACACCAAATAGAACCTAAGAACGACTTTATATATTGAAATCTACATATTATATTATAAATCAATCAGTAAATATAGGTACAAGTACATTTCTTAATTTTTTCTTAATTTTATCCAGAAAATACAATTAATTCTAAAGATAAAATTAAACATACTTCCCTGATTGAAGCCGTTTTCTTTGCTGAATTTTACCTCATATTTTTTGCACTTTTATATCAGTATTTTGTATTCAACTGAAATTGCTATGAATTAATAAACCAAAGGAAAGGAATTCTAACGATTAAAGCTGAACACGACTCGTAAATAGGCATACGCCATTTTTGATAGCATTATCTATAAAACATCAATACTAGGGTATACTCGTCGCTTTCGTTACACCTGACTGCTTTTTTGTCACAAGTATCGGCGTGGAATGGCGACCCGTGTTCGTGCTGGTTATCTTGCATTACCTTTGTGTACATTTTATTGCAGTTAAGTTTATCTATGTTGTTTGTATACTGCTCTGACTTATACAGCTATAATTGTAAATTTATTTGGTATCTTACTTTCCTGCATTAGACGAAGTATTACGATATTAGTCTCGCTACCAAGTCCTGTATAGCATACGTCCGTCTACACCGGTGTTGACTGATTAAACTGAACAGTCTCTAATTCTTGCCCTTTTTATATGGGTCTGCAGGGTAGCGAGTCTCAGGAACTAAAATGGCGGATACATGTCTTTTACGAATCGTGTTCAGCTTTAACAAACTCCATAAATCCAATAAAACTGTTATATATGAAGAAAAAATATCTTTTTGTAAACTATGTACGTTATTGAAAAATAAGAATGGTAGGAATATAATCACAGTTGCAAAAATCAGCGGGAAAAAAACGTCACATAGCGCTGCTTTGACGTAGAACGACATAGCCCCTCCCCCTTAAATCAATTTCCCTGTAGAGAATATATCATAGACAGTTACTCTCGGTGTTTATAATGAGTTTTCTCTTTAAATGTTACATTTTCCGAGGCATCAGACAGTCGATGGAAACAATATTTTGTCATACTTTCATGTTAAACAAACATACATGTGGATCACTTGCCAGAAAGCACGGTCATTAAAGAGTTATTTCCCTTGAATTATGCTTTTAGATGAAACATTAAGAGTTATCTTGCAGAATGATATTGTTAGATAGAAAATATTTTATATAACACCATACCTATACATAATATATATTACTTCAACTATATACAAAGCTCAGAACACAGTTGTACTTTATTCTGTATATGAGTGGTATAAAAATAACTTTACTGTAGTGTACACTTATTCTCACACATATGAA